CAAATCAAAACAACACCTTATATATCCATGGTTCAAAGGAACAGGTGACTCTTGACCAATCACCATGGGGTATCTCACTGCCCATGTGCCTGGGAGTACTTAGGAACTTCATTTCCCAGGGTGCTGTACAGCACCTTTTCTGAAACCCGACTCCTCCAGGAGAGGAAACAACAACAAGGACAAATTCAATCTGACTAAGCGTGTTTTAACCTAACAGGGCAGCAGTGAAGATGTGTAAATCCTAAGCCAGAATTCCAGAGGTGCCTCCAAGCTGAGCCAGTGTGTGAAACAGCCCCACTGCAGGAATTGCCTTGGGGAGACGGGGCCATGGAGGAGGAGCCCCTTGCAGAGGTTTCCTGTCCTCTTTGCTGTGTCTGTGCAGGCTGGGGGGGCGGGGGGAGGAAAACCCCGGCAGCAGGGATGTGTCTGCCCAGCACTTGCAAGCAGAGCTTCCGGAGAAGTGCCCTGCCATTCAGCTGCCACCAGCTCTGGTGTGAATCTCACCTCTAAACCTGCCTGTGACCCTGAATACTCTCTGAGTTCCCTCTCCTCACCTCCCGCTCCTGCTTCCTTCTACGTGTCCCCATCCAAGACAAGTTGCAGGAGGTCTTCAGCCCTGGTCAAAATAGCCACTCGCATCACCAAGGGGACAAGTGAAATGGGAGAGATCCCAGAGCCCATGGGATCTCATCTCAGACAGCTCCAAGGAGGGCACTTCTGCAGTCCTGGACATCTGGGAGTGCTGCTGAGAGTCCTCTGCTCTGCTTATCTCTCCAGTGGACTCTTGATCCAGGCCTGAGATCTCCATCTTCACATCATTTCTGGTTGGCTCCCAGTTTTCTCCTCATGGTTTGTACGAGTTATTCCCTCTTCAGCCATATTCTCAGAGATAAAAGAGCAAGAAAATGAGGGCCGAGAAATAGCAAGAGGGATAAGAAGGTGACAGGTGCTGTCTGATGGTCCCTGCTGGCTTGTCAGCAGCAGCTGGAGCAGGATGATAAACCCAGCTGACTCTTCTGACAACACCTCAAGAGCCAGACCTGCTTTGGGGGCCAGGAGGGCTGAGTTGGGAGGAGAGGGGGAACTTTCCCCAGCAAGCCCGGGAGGGGCAGATCAAGCATTCTGGGGTTGCCACGTCAGCACCTGCTCTGGCCCTTTGGGCCACAGTCTCTGCCACCCCCTCAGAGCACAGAGGGGATTTCTGGAGCTGGTTGTGTTGTGGTCACATCCCTGCAGGAGGGGAGAGGCACACTCTGTTCCACTGCTGGTTGTCTCTCTGCCCACGGGTCCCTAACAGCAGACTCTACAGCTGCCTGTGGTTTTTTTACTGTGTTCCTTAGACCCATGTTTTTCCAGAAATTGGCATTAACACACTGCAGAGAAGGTTTCACTTTCTGTTCCATTCTCTGCTCTGCCCCCTCCTTCTTCAATTCTTCAAGATGGTTCCTGGCTCCTTCCTCTCACAGGCTCTGCAGCTCCCATGTCCTTCTTCATCCTTCCAGCAGAACCAGCAGGGGAACATGTGGCACAGACCACAAAGAATGAGGACATCAGGGGGAGGGAACAACCCTGACACCTGGAAGAGAGAATATTAAATCCAATTCTCACCAGACTTTACATCCTAAAGATGTTTTGCATCTTTATTTTTATTTGAAGTCCTTGCATATTATTAAGCCCCATAGTTCTTCTTACGAAATACATTCCTTGCTCCTGCCATGGTCAGAGGACAAGACACAGACTCACTGGAATAGCAACATCTGTCTCTCTCCCTCCATTACCTTATTTCCTATTTTCCTAAAAGATTCTTTAAGAACCAGACACAAAACACAGGTGTAAATTTGCAGAATAACCCTGGAGAAATGCATTCACAGTTCAGGTTTCAGCTTTAGAAGGATTATTCAAAGAGTAAACTTGTACTGATATACATTGATTAAAAACAGAAACAGGGGGAAAAAGAACCAGGAAATGCAAATGTAGTAAACATATCACATAAAAATCATAATTGCAACTTAACACCTCGTTCTCCACAAGAAATGGTTCCCATAGTGCTGTACATCCCAGATTCTTCACACACACAAACTGTTAAAACACTTACAGTCCAAGATTCCCAGGACTCTTCCCTGAGATTTTGGGAAGAACTCGCTGGGTAATTCAGCTGCTCTGCTCTGGGTTGCACTTTGGCTGCTGTTCCTGTCATTTGTTAAACCAGGCACTCAGAGGATCTGCCCTGGCATGGGAGGATCAGGCACCAAGTCACAGGAGGGAGAAATGCCCTAAAAGTTATCTGAGTCTTCCGGCAGCACGAGCACTTCCCAACACAGCGAGCCCAGGGAATACAGGGGGGTGGGAGGTCCAGCTCAGGGAAAATGTAATGAAGGCTGGACACAAAAAGTAGGAAGCAACATACAATTCCTTTCATGACTTCTCCTTAGGACATTGAAATTCCAGCTCCGTTATTCTTCAACCACCACCAGAATTAGGGAATAAAGTGATACAGAGAACACACTATAATGATTTTTCCAGACACTTTTGAATTGCTTCCTGACTTCCATTTTGTTTGTTGGTCAATACTTCACCAGCACGGAAGGATTCTGTGCCTTTGGATCACACCACTCGTCTTCTCACACGCTTCCTATCACCACACGTGCAAATGATCAAATGGCCAAAGGGAAGTGAAACTTTAACACACAGAAACTGGGCACAGATCCAGCTACATCAGACCTCATAGGTTCTGAAATTTGTGGTTTCGAGTCTCTCATGCCCTGTACAGAATCACAGAGACACCGAGTAGTTGAGGTTGGAAGGGACCTGGAGAGATCATCTGGTCCAACCCCCCTGCTCAAACAGGGACACCTGGAGCCACTTGGCCAGAACCTCATCCAGAGGCTTTTGAATATCTCCAAGGATGGAGACTCCACCACCTGCCCAGGTAACAGTGTCTGTAAGACTCAGGGGCCAGTCAGGGGCTCACTGTCCTTGCTACATTTCCCTCTCCATGTGACATCACTTGGAGATGTACCTTGATCGGGTAAGAGGCAACAGGAACAAACTGCAACATGAGAAATTCTGATTCAACGTGTGGCAAATTTTCTTTTGGTGCTTTTTACCATGAGGGGGATCAAATATTAGAACAAGGTGAGGAAACTCAGGGTAAAGGGGAGAATGTAAATCAAAATGAGGAGCCATTGCATTATTGCCATCATCAGTGTCAGGCCATAAGGTTTGCCAAGATGATGAGACTTGAAACCAAGTGCCAGCTGTACTTCTACAAACTGAGACCCCAAAATAGAGTAGTATAAAGTTAAACAAATGAGAAGGGTCCAGATAGTGCTCAAATCTGGAAACTAAGATTTGCAATCAATTGGGAAACTTAGTGCGAGGGGATGAGAGACGCCTCGAGAAAGAACAATAAAGAGATGTCAGTGGTTAACTCAGGATGCAAAATGGGATTTACTCCTCCACCTTGAAATGTCTCATAGACAGGTTAGGGATGTCTGTTCTAATATTGATTTAGTTATTAAAAATCTCAGCAACAATTACTAACCATGACTATTCCTGACCTCTAAACTCAGACAAATAATAAACGGCTATTTTGCCTTGAGATAAAGGAGGTGAAATAGAGCAACACATGAGGGCGTGCTCCAAAATGAACATATAAGATCAGTTATCGGGTGGGACATCTCTGCCCTGGCTGAAGGTGTAAAAAGTCAAGGCTATTTCTGATGAAAGCTCCCCCAAGTTCTTTCAGGTTTTAGTGGCAGTTGTTTTGAACACTGTCTGCAGCTTTTTCACACCCCACCTTTGCTCTCTTTTTATCTGTTCTGCAATAACTCACTTGCAGCTGGGCTCTGAACTGTGTCTGTTTTGTGCTGCATGGATGTGCACAGGCTGCACCAAACCTGACCCTCTTCTCCCAGTGCAACCACCCCAGGGTGGTCCTGCAGACCTGGAGTCTCATGTCCCATTTGAGACACACGTGTGCAGGACCTGCAGTTCCACACATCCCCAGGGGAGCTCCATGGGCTCCAGCTGCTCTCTCACATAACAGGCAACTCCTGCTCCTCATCTTCTCAGCCAGTACCTCCTGAACACTCATGTGGCTGCATTGCAACACCAGCCATGGGAACAATCCACCCTATCTCCCTGATCCCAACAAGGTCACAGCCCTAAAACCACACCCAGATGTCCATCTCATCCTCTTTATTCCCCACAGGAGCTGCATTAATGGACAGGCCCTTCCAAGAAACTCCTCAGCACAAGGACTGCCCAGAAAGGCCTTGGGGGGTTTCTTCACAGTGGAGCATTGTTGGCACTTCCTGGGGAAAGAACCACTCAAACCCCCATGGCCTTGGCTACCACCCCAAGAGCTCTGGAGCCACTTGTGCCCATGGCCAGTTTCCCCTTGGAGAACCCCTTGGCTTCATGTGTCAGAAGAGCTGTGAGGAGCAGTGAGAGCAGGGCAGAGCAGGGTGGGGGCCAAGGGGCAGGAGGGCTTTGCAGGGAGGATGCTGCCCCAGAGGGACAGGCAAACACGGCTCGTGCTCCGGGCTCGCAGTGTCCGGAAATGAAAGCGGGGGCTCTGCAGGCGCAGCGGCCGCAGTGGGGGCTGGGGCAGGGCCCCCGCTCGCCACAGCCCCTCCTCGTGGGAAAGGCCCTGCCAGCCACAGACCTGCAGCAGGACCAGTCCCAGGTGCTCTGCAAGGCACAGGCCAGGCAGCTTTTGAAGCGCTGTGCAGAGCTCAGCCCACAGAAGAAGCTTCCAGGAGAGGCTGTTCCTGCGGTGCCCAAACAATGCTGGGGCAGCTGGGATGTGCCAGGCTGTCTCCTGCTCGCCCGACCTTCCTCCTCCTCCTCCTCCTCCTGCTGCTGCTGCTGGGTGAGCTGGGGGCTGGCTTTGCCTTGGGGCTCAGCACTGGAGGGCTGCTGAGCAGGGCAGGACAGGGCCCGTCCCGGGCTCAGGGCAGGACACATGGGAAAGGGTGTGTGGAGCACAGGGGAAAGAGCTGCTTTAGGGAGGGCAGGAGGACAGTTGCTTCCCGCAGCTCCTATGGACCTCTGAGCAAGGGGGGCGATTTCCAGCCCCTCTGAGGGAGTCTGGTTCATGGCATGAGACTTGGCAGATGCTTAAGTGCTTCAGGGAGCCAGAGGCATCCACCTGGAACCACAAAACAAACCAAAATGGGTTTGGGGAAGTGTCAAACAGGAGACAAAGGACCCGCAGAATGGAGCCACATGGCTGGGAAGGTTCTGGCCCAGCAGTGGGAACGTGGACAGGGGCACGGGGCTGAGCTGGGTTGCTGCCCCTCTGACCAAAACCCTCTGTGCCCCACGGTGCAGGTGCTGGTGTGATGGCCCAGGACATCTGCAGCTCCCCAGGGGATGGTGAGTACAGGGACACATCCTGTAAAGGGAATTGTTTGGGGCTGGAGATGGAAACTGGAAAGAACTTTGTTCCCTGTGTGAATCCCTGGAGAGGAAATTCACCCCTCCCAGAGCCGAGGTATTTCCCAGCCCTTACAACAGTAACAAATTCTTGGGCCATTACTGTTCCATCTCTCCAGGTGACCTCCCAGCTCCTGCTTTCTATATGAACCCCACTGCTGCACAGGATGACGAACAGGTTTTGGTTTGGTGCGTAATTGGTCAGAAGTCTCCTGCCACCCGAATCATCTTCTGCAAGGATAGAGTGGAGTTTCACAGCCTGAGAGCTCAACAACAGAAGGGCACCTACTACATGCTCTTCCCCATGACGAGGGGGAGCACAGGGACATACACATGTGGATACCAGCACAAGGACAACAGCAACCGAGTGTGGAACTCTGCCCTCAGTGCTCCCCAGAACCTGAGCTTCACAGGTGAGTCATGGCAATGGGGCACACTCCAAGGAAACACTCCCAGGTCCCACAGAGCCCAGGTGAGGGAGGTGCCCCATGGCATGTTCTGGGCTGTTGGGAGGATAGGGAAGGGTTTGCTCTGGGGCAGTTGAGGGTCTTGAGTTTCAACATCAGCAGCCCCCAACATGCACCCCAAGTTCAAGCCATTGCACAGCAGGAGCATTTGGGGTCTTAGCCATGGAGGAACCTTTGTCGCATCAGAGCCAATTTTGGGTGGGTTTGTGGTTCCAGGTGGATGCCTCTGGCTCCTTAAAGCACTTCAGCATCTGCCAAGTCTCACTCAATGACTCAAACCCCCTCAGAGGGGTTGAAAGTCACCCCCATTGCTCAGAGGTCCATGGGAGCTGTGGGAAGCAATCGTCCTCCTGCCCTCCCCAGAGCAGCTCTGCCCCTCATTGCTGCACGGCTGCTCCACACACCCTTTCCCTGGGTCCTGCCCTGTGCCTGGGGCAGGCCCTGTCCTGCCCTGCTCAGCAGCCCTCCAGTCCACACTTCCCACCTTCCTCCTGCATCTCTGTGTCCAACGCCCTCACCTTTCTCCAGACTCACAGGGCACCCAAAACAGGATGGTGGGGAGCTCAGGACAGGAGCTTTCAGATCACCTCCCCTAAACTGTCCCAAAGCAGCTTCACCCCCCTGTATGAATCCTGCATCCCTGACAGGGAAACAGTCAAGCTACACAACACATCCCCCTGCCAGTTTGGGCAAGGATTGATGGCACCAGGAGCATTCTCTGTTCCTGCGGTGCCCAAACAATGCTGGGGCAGCTGGGATGTGCCAGGCTGTCTCCTGCTCACCCGACCTTCCTCCTCCTCCTCCTCCACCTGCTGCTGCTGCTGGTGCTGGGTGAGTTGGGGGCTGGCTTTGCCTTGGGGCTCAGCACTGGAGGGCTGCTGAGCAGGGCAGGACAGGGCCCGTCCCGGGCACAGGGCAGGACACATGGGAAAGGGTGTGTGGAGCACAGGGGAAAGAGCTGCTTTAGGCAGGGCAGGAGGACGATTGCTTCCCACAGCTCCCATGGACCTCTGAGCAAGGGGGGCAATTTCCAGCCCCTCTGAGGGAGTCTGGTTCATGGCATGAGACTTGGGAGATGCTTAAGTGCTTCAGGGAGCCAGAGGCATCCACCTGGAACCACAAAACCAACCCAAATGGGTTTGGGGAAGTGTCAAACAGGAGACAAAGGACCCGCAGAATGGAGCCACGTGGCTGGGAAGGTTCTGGCCCAGCACAGGCTCAGCAGTGGGAACGTGGACAGGGGCATGGGGCTGAGCTGGGTTGCTGGAGAGAGGGACGGAGCCAGAGGACAACAAATTGCAGTTCAGGTGCCTTCAGCTCTCCGGGTTCCGCCTGCCCAGCTCAGCTCAAGCTGCAACCATCCCCCAATCCCCTCCCTGAGAGAGGGACACCCCCCCTTCAAGCACCACCAGAGCACAGGAGCTTGAGGTTGCATTGCTGAACCCTCCCCACACCTTGAGCCCTTGGGAGTGTGTGACTGCCCAGCAAACCCCAGCCTGCCCTTATACTGTTTCTAGAGGACAGACAAGCCCTGGCCTTTCTTCATTGGTTTGACTGGGTTAAAACAATCAATCAGAAATGTTTGTGGGAGGAAATACCTTGTTCCTTCACAAATCAGCATGTGAGGGGGCTGTTCTTCTCCCCCTCAGTTGCTCTCTTGAATCAATTTGGAGGCATCTTGATAACATAGGATTGAAAATGGCACTGATTGTTTTTCCATTTTTCTTCCAAGCTGCCCTCTTTTCCATAAACTCTGTGTGGAAATTTCTGACACATTCTGTGCTCTGGGATCAACTGTAACTGGTTATTTTGTTGTTGTTTAAAGCTTCTAGTTTTGTTTTCTCACCAACTTTCCAAAGTTTTCTCAAGAATGGTTTGGGTTAGAAGGGACCTCAAAGATCATCTCGTTCCACACCCCTGCCATGGTTGAGGACAGATCCCAATAGACCAGATGGCTCCAAGTTCTGACCAGAACATTTTGACCAGAGGAGGTCAAAAGTGTGACCTTTAGGTGCATTTAGAGAATCACATTAAAGGTTGGGAAACACCCCTCAGGGTAAGCATGTTCCAGTGCAATTCCATTTCTGATCAAAAGGGGCTGTGACCCATCTAAGGCCATTCTCTAGGCCGTGCTAAGTACGTTGTTTATAGCGTGAGATTATACCAGAAGCATCCACCTGGAACCACAAACCCAATGAAAACAAGCCTGGGGAGGTGTCAAGCCTGGAGACAAGGCACTCAGGATGGAGCCCCATGGGTTGGATGGTTCCTGCCCAGCACAGGCTCAGCAGTGGGAACGTGGACGGGGGGCACGGGCTGAGCTGGGTTGCTGCCCCTCTGACCAAAACTCTCTGTGCCCCACGATGCAGGTGGTGGTGTGATGGCCCAGGACATCTGCAGCTCCCCAGGGGATGGTGAGTACAGGGATAGGTCTTGTGAAAGGATTTGTGTGGGGCTGGAGATGGGAAGGGGTCCCTATGTGTGAACCCCTGGAGGGGAAACTCTTTCCCTCCCGGAACAGAGTCTTTTTCGAGCCCTGACAAGAGTTACACTGTCCTGGGCCATCCCTTTGCCGTCTCTGCAGGTGACCTCCCAGCTCCATTCCTCCATATGCAAACCAGTGTCACTTTGGATGCAGCACAGGAGGGAGAACAGATTTTGTTTCGGTGCCAAATAGTCACGAAGTCTCCCGTCACCCGAATTGTCTTCTGCAAGGATGGGGTGGAGTTTCACAGCCTGAAAGCCCAACAGGATAAGGGGAGCTACTACGTGCTCTTCACCACGACGAGGCGGAGCACGGGGACATACACATGTGGATACCAGGACAAGGACAACAGCAACCCAGTGAGGAACTCTGCCCTCAGTGCTCCCCAGAACCTGAGAGTCACAGGTGAGTCCTGGCAGTGGGGCATGGGCAGGAAACACTGCCAGGCCCCTCAGAGCCCAGGTGAGGGAGGGGAACCTGCCCTGCCCCACCCCATGGCATATCCCCAGGCAGTTGGGATGCTGGGGGTCAGTGTGCAGTTCAGCCCAGCCCTTGCCACCAGGGACACTCCTCCCAGTCCCAGGAGAGAATCCTGCTCCTCTCCTGCCCCAGCATCATGGAAAGGGGAGAGTGGTGGTGCCAGATCTAATGCAGAGCCATAGCTGTGCAGGGCATTCATTTATTGATCCCCACAGTTGACAGATGGTGGATCAGGGGGTCCCCACAGTGGCTGAATCTGTGCAGTACCCGGGGGAGCTGCAGATTCTCAGCCTGTGCCTTTCTCCTCCCAGGCAGTGGGTCCAGCTCCCAGGCAGGGACAGCCACCAATGGTGAGTGATTCCCTCCCTCACACCCAATGTTCCTCAGCATTGGGCCCAGGCTGCCCAGCTGCCAACTGCAGGACATTGGGAGGTTCATCAGCCACAACCTCGCTTGGCTCTAAGCGCGTATTCTGCTCTCTGCTTCCACTCCCCATAATTCCCCATCTTCCCCAACAGCTTCTCTGCCCCCAGATACCAATCCCCTGGGCTTTCAGACCTTTTCCCAAGACATTACGATAGGATTGGTGACCATCTCTCTCTTCCTCCTGGCTGCAGCCACCTACTGTTTTGTGAGGAAAGGTGAGTGATTTGGGGATATCAAGGGGAAAATCTGAGGCCACAATTGCACTTAATGCAGGGCTGCTGCTCTCTGACCCATGCTGGTTTAGAATGGCTGGATCCTTACCCTGTTTCACAGGAAGCTGAGCCTCTCAGGCCTTTCATTTGTCAAATGAGGGAAGTAAAGCTGCTGAGGTGATAAAGACTTTACCAAAGAGCTGCCCTGCACCAGGCACACATCGGCTCCCATCCTGTGCACAGCTGCTGAGAGCCTGGGAGAGGCCAGGCTGGGAAAGGGGATTCACTGTTTTATAGGCTGGGCTTGAAAAATCCCTCTCTGAGTGAGATGTGGAGGTTCAGCCCATCACCTTCACTGCACAGCCCAGAGCATGGAAAGTCAGGGCTGTGCAGGAACTCTGCCTCCCACCTCTCCCTTTCTTTCCCTTGCAGGGGCCTGCAGAGAGAGATGCCAAAGGTGAGCAGCAATCCCTGTGGGCTGGGAGCTGGGGGTGATGGAGATGGGGCATCCTAGGCCCCCTGGAGTGGTCCTTGGGCAGGGGCAGCCTGGTCTGTGCTCGTGGGTGGATTCTCCCATGGTGCAGGCAGGGAGGAGCAGGGCTTGCCCTGGCCTTGACTCCAGCCATGGACCCGATGCAAGACGGAATCATCCATGGCAATGACTCCAAAGGGCTCATCAGGGTCTGGACACAGACCCCAAAACCCTTTCCCTCAACTCTCTCCAGACAGCAGCAAGTTCCCAGCCATGAGGCTGAAGGGACTGATGACAATGAAATACACTGTGAGTACCAACCCCCCATTCTGGTTGACCCCCTCTTGTGTCCTGGCTGCCTCTGGCATCACCAGCAACCCGGAGACCATTGACCGGCCGTGCCGCAGCCTCAGGAGCTGCACCGAGTTACAGGGACCTGCCCAAAGCCCCTTTCCATCCTCTCCATCCCCTCCCCTCATTGCAGGGCCTTTCCCAATTCCACATGCAATCCCAGCAATTTATCTCCCAGTGGGAATTGCAAAACAACTCCCACTGAACAAGGGCAGATTTCTCCCCACACTGTTGCTCCCCAGCTTCTTCCCTGCACACACAGCCCAGCTCCTGCCTGCACAGGAAAGGTGACAACAGATCCCCATCCCTGCTCTGCATCCACACATGGAAGGGCAGCTTCCTCTGCTGCCAGGAGTGGGGTGAGATTAGGGGCAAACAGGGCAGGGGATTCAGTGCTGACCCCAGGGATCTGCTGTTCAAAGGCAGGATGGGGTTTGTCCCTCCCAGAATGGGAAGCAAGGGCTCACTCTGTGTTTTTTGCCCCCCACCAGACTCCACCATCGCCCACGTTGGACGGAACAGGGTGAGTTGTGGCACAGCCTTGGTGCCAAACCAGGGAGCAGGGCCTGGGCATGGGATGTGGGTCTCAGGGTCTGTGCCAGTGGCCATTTCCACCAAGAACTGAAGGGAAGCCCTTGTAGATAGAGATATTTATGAGATAGATTTTTGTCCAAGGAAAATATTTTATTTTCTCAATGTCATCTGTAAATATTTTCCCTGAAAAAAATACTTCATGCTGGAATGTCACATGTAAAATTTAGGGGTTTAAACTGGGGAAAATAATCAAACCAAAACTGAAGGCAAAGGGCCCAGGTCCCTGCAGCTCTCCTGTAGCCCAGGGCCAGAGGCTTGTGCAGGGCTTGCAGCCAGCAGAGGAAATAACAGGCTTTCCTTTTTCTCTCCAAAGCCTCGTGTGCAAGAGCTGAACAGCAGCACAACCTATGCCTCGGTGAGGCCCTCCCACAGCCAGCCCAGGGAGTGCTCCAGCATGGCCAGTGCCCAGGGAGAATGGCCCAGCCCAGCCTGTTCTCTCTGACAGAGCTCCTGAGCTGGGAAAATGGGGCTGGGGGGTCCAGGCTGGGCTTGCTTGGGCTTTGCTGGGCTGGGCAAGGGCTGGGAGCTGGGAGCCTTGGAGCTGCTCCTCCAGCTCCTCCTCTCACCATGTTCTCCCCTTTCCCTTCCCAACCCCACTTCCACCCCCCATGGCTCAGGGGGTTTACAGACATTCCCTGCAGCTCCCAGTGGCTTTGTCCCTGTCCCCAGGAACCTGCCCTGTGCCAACCCCTGGGCTCGTCTGCACCACTTCTGGTAGGGAATTGCCAGCACTTGGCTTGGCAGGGCAACACCTCCCCACGAGCCCTGGCCATGCCAACATGTCCACATCCAGCCCTTCCACCAGGCCCAGCCCTCACTCATTAGAAGTGTGTTCTGGATGCCTTGAACCAAAGGGATCTCTGTGACTTGCACAAGTATCAACAATGTCTGATGGATAAATCCATATCAAATCTATTCCCTATATTGCACATGGACATGTGAGCACCTCGAGTGAAGGCATCTCCATCCCCCTGTGTCAAAAGGAACCTGTGTGTCCACAAGCCCCATGATCCAGCTCCGGGTGAGCTCTTCTCTGTGCCCACACCAATGCTCACCTGGAGCATCTGTGTGGGCAGAGAGAAGGGCAACAGACATTATTTTCCTGATCACCCATGAGGTGACTTTCTTCAGCTTTGCTGGCTTATATGCTCTTACAGCAGGATCTGCATGTGCTGTTAACACCATGGCACATATCCATTGGCACAGTGGGGAGGGCCACGATTTCCTGCCCAGCAGGGCCTTTTATGTCCCGTAGTTGAGCACAGCCCCGCTGGATTTTGTGATCAGTGTCTACAGAGAGTGTCCAAAGGAGGGTAACAAAGATGAGGAAGGGCCTTGAGGGGAAGCTGCATGAGGAGTGGCTGAGGGCACTTGGTGTGTTCAGCTGGAGAACAGGAGACTGAGGGGAGACTTCATTGCAGTTACAACTTCCTTGTGAGGGGAAGAGGAGGGGCAGGCACTGTCTGTTCTCTGTGGTGACCAGTGACAGAAGCTGAGGGAATGGCCTGAAATCATGTCAGAGGAGGGTTAGGCTGGGCACTGAACAGGCTCCCCAGGTCATGGCCTCAAGGCTTGCCAGAGCTGACGAAGCGTTTGGATGATACTTTTGGGCACATGGTCTGACTCTTGGGAATGGTCCTGTGCAGGGCCAGGAGTTGGACTTAATGATCCCTGCGGGGCCCCTTCCAACTCAGCACAGTCTGTGATTCTGTGATTCGTGATTCTGTGAACCTTTCCCTTTTCCAAAGTTCATGTTCTACACATTGCTGATCAAAAATGTTCCTCTGGACTTGCCCCACTGTGGGGGGAAATGGCAGGTCCATGGATCCCCCAGGACCCCTGGAACTTGAAGAGCTTGAAATATTGCAGGGTGTGAGGCCTTTCCCATGAAGAACAGTGAGGCTAATTAAATGTTCCCATGGACACAGCCTTGAGTTTTAGGGAGTTAGCTGGAAAAGGATAACAGTGCAAGGACAAAGGTGTTGACTGTGTGCAGGTGTGAAATTCCTAAGTGTTTTTGCAAAATATATTTACATTATGTGTGTGGGAAAGTAAGGGCCAGCTAGCTCAATAAAGCCTGCCTGCTGCTCTGAGGCAGCAGACACCCCTTGTCTCATCACTTTCTTCGTGTGTGTGTGTGTCTTCTTTCTTCACGGACCGAAACCTAACGACAGATACCCCATGACACCCCACCACAAACATACTCACAAGACTGCAAGATATACCACGGGCCCACTAAACCCACAAACACTTCACATGCACCCAGGATCACCAGCTTTTCACGTCTGTCATTCTGGCTTCCTGCACTGCTCCTGGTAATTTTTTCCTCTCTCCTTTCCTTTGGGAACTACAGAGCTCCCATGCTTTGGCAGTTTCCAAGGCCAGCCCCCTCAATGGATGCTGAGCAGCCTCCATGGCTGATGTTAGGAACATTTGAAACCATCACTGGCTGGTGAGGAGAGGGGTTGTGATGCTTGTGTGCAGCCAAGAGAACAACAGCTGGATATCAGCCTCACATCTGCATCTCAACATTCCCAGCCATGTGCACCCTCAGCCCCGACACCTCCCATGTCCTGGGCTCATCCCCAGCACTGCGGGCAGCAGGGCAGGGGGGACTGGTGCCATAGGGAGGGCTTGGAAGGTCTCTGCTGGTCCTGGCTTTGGCCAGATCCATGTGCACACTGGGGTCACTGTGTCACTCCCAGCCCCGCGGGGGCCAGAGCTCCCTGTGCATGGCCACAGCTCCAGGTGTCCCAGCAGTCAGAGGCTGGGAAGCACCGATGGATGCACTGGGGAGCCCCTGGGGCATGGCCACAGCCCCTGCTTGGCACCGGTGGGTGCAGCCTGGATCACACTGGTGATGCAGGTACATCCCAGCTCTGTTCCCAACATGTTGGCCCCATCCAGAGGAGGCCACGAGGACAATCAGAAGGTTGGAGCACCTCTGCTCTGAGGAAAGGTGGAGACAGTTGGGTTTGCTCAGCCTGGAGAAGAGAAGGCCCCGGGGAGGCCTCAGTGCAGCCAGGCAGGACCTGAAGGGGCCCAGAAGAAAGATGGGACAGTGTTCAGCAGGGCCTGTGGAGAGAAAAGGGGGATGGCTTTGAACTGGAGATCCATTTAGGTGAGATCTAAGGAAGATGTTTCTTTCCAGTGAGGGTGGAGAGGCCCCAGCACAGGCTGTGCACAGGGGCTGTAGATGCCCCATCCCTGGGAACACTGAAAGACAGGGATGGAAGGGTGGAAGGTTGCTCAGGCTGGAACGAGATGATCTTTAGGGTCTCTGACAAGCCAAACCATTCCAGGATTCCATCATTGTATGGTCTCCATCCCCCACTCTGGAGTGGCCCCAGAACTCATATGATCCCACAGCTCCCAGAGCCGTCATATCACAGCCCATGTTCTCCCTGGAACTGCCAGCGCCCAGTGATGAGCACAACACACCCTGGGGGATGACCATGAAGAGACATCCCTGCTTCACGGGAGAAGTTCCACAGTTCAAGGAAGTCTGTGGAAGACTCTACCATATGAAAGTTGGACTGGGCTTTTATAGTTATAAAGTGATGGACTGGTAGTCATAGATTTACAGGCCAGTGAGAAGATTATCTGTCAAATGCTGCTTCAAAAAGCAGGATGTGTGTTTGAGGTTTGGTGAACCAGGCTGGTTTTAGCACAATTCAACACCAAAACAGCACCCCTGGTGCAAGAAGAACTTGCATGAGAGCTTGTATTGTTTGCATTCTCTGATCTAGGTATTATTGGGGTAGAACATCCTGCTGCAGAATCCCCCATGACTGCAGTCAATTATCTTTACCCTATGAAGTGCTACTGCAGGTGCCTCTGGCCTCCAGGCTATAAAAGCGTCCACTGCACATGTGCACGTTATCGCTGAGTATACTGCTGTCATAGGTTGAAAAGAGATGTTGGAATTTTCTTTTTCTTCCCCAGGGTCCCACCCCCATCCCCCCCATCTGTTTCTTCCGGGATGGGGGGAGTCGGGGAGGGGGTGGAGGTGGAGCGGGGCCGCACGTGGGAGGCAGCACAGGAGCGGGGAAGCACAGTGGCCACAGGGACAGCTGGGGTGTCCTTTGTTTGGGGGATTTGGGGGTTTGGTCCGGGACCGGACAGAGCAGGAGCCCGGTTTTTGGCTGCCTCTTTCTCTTTTCCTGAGAGGAAGTTTTTCCCCACGGGACAGCTCGCAGAGGATGACTGAGAGAGACTGACCCATCTCAGAGCGAGGTATTCTGCTTTCAAGACTGCCTGGGGGAAAAAGGGAGTCCTTCATTGCTGGCTGCGAACACACGTGGTTGCGAGCAGCTGTCGAACTGCTGGAACAGTCCTGCCTCCTCCCCCACCCCGTGTCTCTGCCTCCCCCAACCCCACCCTGGGTTGCGCAGGTTTCTCCCCCCCCACCTGGGGATTTGGGGCTTTGTTTTGTTTCTTCTGAAAGTTTTTGACTGCACCATTTGTTGTTTATTCAGATTTTGTTAATAAAAAGCTGTTTGTTTTCCTTTTCCAGGCTTCCACCTGAAGTCTCTTAATTTCTAAGTTGCAATCTTGTTAAACTAAGACAGTTGGGATACATCAATCTCCCAAGTTTTATTGTAGTTTAAAAGGGTGCTGCCTATATTACAATTACAACTTCAAGTTGTTGCAAAAAGATTGATGGTTAGCAATATTAAACAGAGCATCATATGGAATTAATTATCAATTTTGGAAAAAAAGGATTGTTATATCAATGTATGTATTTTTGGAATGATTGGTATCCTCTTGTTTTGGGTTACATAGTACACTCATGTATATATTTGTTTATAAAGAGTACCAGCAAAATAACAGCATTATAATAACAGGGTATAACATTAAAATCCAGAGTGTCCATTGCAGTTGGGAACAAACCAAACATATTATTCTACTCATGATGTTACCAGTTTGTGTAGATCAGGATGTTCCCCACCCCTTGAGTCTTACAGCTGTAGGAAAGATGGGATGCAAACCAGGATCCAGAGGCAGAATCCATGGACCCTCCTTCTGGGGCAGTGATTGGAGGAGTTCAAAGGGTTTGTCAGCGACTCCCTTCACTTCCGCAAGTTCTCCTTCCAGCGGGATGCAGATGCGGCTCCCCAGACGCAAGAAAACTGCCTGTCAGTTCCCCTCCCTGCAGTCCCCAGGGGACTTCTTCTGCCAGGGGAGAGGCACAAGAGCGGCCGCGCCCCCGCCGGGCCCTGTAGGGACCATCCCCTGCAGAGCCTGACGTTGTATCTGCCGCCTTGTGCCGCTTCCAGGGGGGACCCGCCGCAGCCCCGACAGCATCGCCACGGCACCGCGGGACCGAGCGGGGCAGGAAAGGGACGGGGCGGGGGAGTACGAGATGGGGGCGCCGGGCGCGGCCGCGGAGCCGCCTCAGCGCCGGGCCCGCGCTCTGCCAGGGGTCCTCGCGCCCGAGCCGCGTCCCCGACCGGGGCGCCCCGCTCTGTCCCCACAGTGGGAAGCACCGCGCCAAGACGGCGCTGCGAGCACGGGGTGTGGTCGGGGACGGGGTGGAGCTCAGGCAAGCGGAGGCACGCCTCTCTGAGGCGAGGGGGGCTCGTGCCGCCATTTTTGGTGTGGCCTTGGAGAACTTGCCAAACAGCGCCATCTTTAGTACGGCATTAGAGGACTTCAGGTCGGGGGGGCGCCATCTTTTGTACGGCACTGGAGGACTTTCGCTCAGGGGGCTGCCCTGACTTCCGGTCCCCGATTTTACCCTCAGAATGTCCCTCACTAATTTCCGCGGTTTTACCTCAAAATGTTCATTTTATTCCCCCCCGAGAGGGACGGGAGACCACAGCTCCCGGCGTACCCTGGGAACAGGCCAGGACCCATCGCGGCCGTTCCTTCCCCGCTCGGTGCCGGCCCGGCCGCCCTCCCCGCGGGCCCCGCTGGGCCGCTGCCTGCTCGCCGTTC